TTTTTTGCAGAACCGGGGATTGAACTCAGGCCCTTGCACTTGCCAGGCAAATGCTTATTCTACTGAGCTATCTCCCTGACTCCTGGCCACTGCTTTTGTAGGCAAAGTTTCACTGGAGCCAAAGCCAGTATTCACGAAGCAAGGTAATGATAGTGCACAGTCAGATCATGTTTTTAGTTTGGATACTTCATTCATCATAGATTTTTCTTGTAATAATTTGTTTTTTGAACTGGGTCTCACTACGTAGTCCACACCGGCCTTGAACTCACTATGGAGCCCAGACTGACCTTAAACGTGCAGTGGTCCTCTTGCCTCAGTCTCCTGAGTGCTGCGATTACAGGTACCCTTCCCTACCTGTCCGGATTTACCCTCCGGGAGTAGGCCAGGCCTGTGGGCGTCTGTGGGTCTGTGTCTCTGATGCCAGAGACTACCATGAGGCCTGGGGCCTTGTGTCGTTAGACTTAGTGCTCTGCTCAGGTGGTGGTTCCATACCTGTCACCCTCACCCCACCTGCTCTTCACCTACTCTCTTCCAGATGCTCGGCATGTGCACCAGCACATGTGCGCTGGCTGGGAGGGAGGAATCCTTTCCTCACCTGTGTGCCCACATGTGTCCTGCCAATTGGATCTGCCCATTTCTTGCCCTTGTTTCAAGCTCTGTCAGTGTGTGAAGTTGATTTGAAACAACATTGTGGTTGATAATGAAAACAGTGTGTGTGTGGCACGCTAACAATTCATTTGCTATTTTTTGTTTGTTTAGTTGATTTTCATTTATTTATTTATTTATGTGTGTGTGTGTGTGTGTGTGTGTGTGTGTGTGTCCAGCTCCGCCCACCAGGGAGCGGGGCTGGCTGGCATGTGGTACTGGGGGATTGAACCGCGGTCCCTGAGCTTTGCTAAGCTTGTTCTAAATAGGTGCTTTAGACCACTGAGCCATCTCACCAGCCCCTGTTTAGTTGATTTTTGAAACAGGAACTTACTGTGTAATTCAGGCTGAAGTTGAACTCTCTAATGTGGACCAGGCTGGGCTTCAACTCACAGTGATCCTCCTGCCTCAGCCCACGAGTGCTGGGTTACAACCTGGCTTTGCTTGCTATTTTTAATTTTAAAAATTGCACATAAACAAGAACATATTCCAGTTTAAAACAAAAGTAGTATAATTTCCTCCTTGAATCTGCCTCACCACTTCTGAGGGATGAATTTACCAGAAACTCATACCTGCTTCTATTCTCTAAACTTCCTGACTCCTGCTACATCCTGGTAGCTACAACTCTGACTTCTCTGCTTATCTTTCCTTTTTTTTCCCCCCCTAAATTTCATTTGCCAGGCATGGTGGCACATGCCTATAATCTCAGCACTGGGAGGTTGAGGTAGGACGATCAATTTGATTTGGGGATGGACCAGCCTGGCTACATAGTGAGTTCAAGTTCAGCCTGAACTACATAGTGAGACCAAAAAAAGACAAA